GGAACCGGCTCCCTGGGGCCCACGTCGTCAGGGCACCAGGCAAATGTCTCACCTGCCCCCAGTCCACACCACTGCCTGGAATGAACACCACGCAGCTGTTGCTCCCTGCAGGTGTCTCACACGAACACACACACACACACACACACACACACCCCGGGGGACCTGCTTTCACTGTCAGGAGGAGGGCATTTCTCTCCCACTCCCATGCTAAGTTCTGCCCCGGAGAACAGGACAAGAGCTGAAGGTGACTGACGGGCAGCCAACCAATGGGCCCTGAGGGGAGGTCACAGCTGGGTCCTGGCCTCCGGGGCTCCCTGGGGCAGTCCTCCGGACATCACCAGGGGCCCGCGTCCTCCACGGCCCTGACTCTCTGTGCCCGGCGGGGCAGCCAGGCCTGGAGTATGAATGAGCAGGTTGGCGGAGCAGGTTACGAGTGTGCCGGGTAGGACAGGGACAGAGCCGGGTGACAGCCCCAGGCGATGGCTGGTTTTCCCCCACCCACCACCTTTGTCCTGCTAGGCACAGTCTCGTCACCAGCCCTTCCTGACCGACCTGTGGGTGATGATGCCCAGGGCTTCTTAGTCATTTCCTTACATAAAAATAGATTCGTTTTGTCATTAAGATTCATTGTCTTTCGGTCAGACAGGGCCCAGGGTGTCGCAGCCCTCGGGAATACAGGCTCTGTGACCTCCCCCTCACAGATGTATGGCTGCAGCCCGGTTCCAAGGCCAGAGCAGCTCCAACTGGACCTGCTCCCGGGGACGCTTCTGGCCCGTCCAGCAGCCTGAGGTGCCCGAGGGCTCCGTGGACGACAGTGTCCGTCCCCGTTTGCAGACCGGAGCCTGGTCACACGGGAGAAGGTGGATGTGGTCTCAAACCCAGGCCACCGCTGGCTTAGAATGGATACCCCCAGCCGCTGCCCCCCACCGGCACCTGAGCAGAACCCCCGAGCCTCTGCCCTCCCAGCCTTCCAGGGGCTTCAGCACCGGCCCGGCTGTGTTTGCCAAGGATTTCCCCGAGTGCCCCTCTGTTCACCCAGCTCCATCTTCGGCCCTGACCACTGGGCATCTCCAGAACTCTCTGCCGGAGTCCTCCGCGGCCCCACACCAGGCCCCCCCCTCCACAGCCGCCTCCTCCAGTGACAAGCACACGCTTCCCTGGTGACCGTCACAGGCTGTCCCCTGAATCCTGGGAGCTGGGGAAGCGGCCCGAGTCCTTCCCTGCCCTGTTCTCTCATATCGCTCTAGGGTCCAGGCCCCTGACCTCCGCTCAGGCTTCCGTCCAGCCCACCACCCACAGGACCCCCAGCCCATCGATCACCCCCATTGCTCCCAGGGACCATTCTCAAGCATATATTCAGGGTGTCGGCCCCTTAGAAGCTCCCTCCTGCCTGTACACTAAAGTCCAAACTCCTAGGCATGCATCAAAGCCCTCACAACTTGGACCCGGCCTGCCTTGCCATTATACATCTTCGCCTCCTCCTCTATACATTTTCTTATGAAAAAAAAAAAAAAACCCACAGATTCAGCCCTGGCCGGTTTGGCTCAGCGGTTGGAGCATCAGCCTGCGGTTCGGAGAGACCTGGGTTCGGTTCCCACTAAGGGCACGTACCTTGGTTGCGGTTTGTCCCCGGCCCTGGTTGGGTTGTGCGGGTGGCAGCCACTCGATGTGTCCCTTTCACTTCGATGTTTCTCTCTCTCTCTCATCCTCTCTCTCCCTCCCACTCTACCTGAACAAAAAACAAAGAAATGTCCTCGGGTGAGGATAAAAAACACAGATTCATGTTGGTGATCAGGTGACCTGAGCGGCACTGAGCACTCCAGCCCCCAGCCCTTGCTCACACTGTTCCTCCTGCCGGGAACGCCATTCCTCCCCTCTCTGCCTATCAGAGTCCCCGAAGTCCCCCTGGCGACACCTCCTCCAGGCAGCCTTCCTCAAACCCTGAGCAAGAATGAATGCCCCGTCCCTGGACAAATCTCGATGGCACTCTGCCCCTCTGTTATAGCCCTTAGGGCCGTCTACCAGATGTGGGCATGACTCACATGCCATCCACCATCTCCACCACCCGGAGCTGCAGGAGGCAGGGACCTCTGGTCCATCCATCCGCACCGGTGCGGAGCCTGTACAGGTGCTACTCCCGGGGGAGGGGCGCGAGCGGGAAGGGCCCCCACCACGGCTGCAGGGCCTGAGGCTCCGGCCTTGCTGAAAGCCCCTGGCCCCCTACCACCACCCCGAACACACCCTTCCAGAGACACAGCTGACTTAAAAAGGAAACACCCTACTTCATGACTTAACTCTTTTTTTTAGACCCAGTGACTCATCTCCACGATGAGTTGCTCAGCGAGGCCGGGTGCTCTTCTCGGGTCCAGCCAGGAGAGGGCTGGGCAGGAGCCAGGCCGCTCTGCCTGCACCCTGGGGCCGACGCCTGGCTGAGAGTTGAGGCAGGTCCCCTCACCCACCTGCCCCTCCAAAACATCTGGTCTCAGGATGCCAGGCACACACCTGCAGGGGTGGCTGGGTAGAGGTGGCACCACGTCCCCTCGGGGTCATTGAGGACGGGACCAGGGAGCAGCCTTTCCCCACACACACGCCCACAGACTGCCTTGGCAGCAGGGCCTGCCAGGTCCCTGCACCAGCCCACCTGTGTCCTCCTCCGGGTGGGGGGCTTCTTCCCAGGTTGTGTGGCCTCTTTGGTGGGGAAGGGGGTTCTTATGATGAGATTAGTGCCCAGAATGAGGGATCACACTGCCCTTTGCCCTGCCCCCCACCCCAGGCACCCTTCCTTCCCCACTCAGCCCCACCCCCAAATACCCAAGGAAATGATGGACTGCTCCCCAATCCCCCTCTCCAACCCTCGTCCCACAGATCCTCATTTCAATACACATAACTCACTTGTTTCTTCATTTCTTCCTTTAAAAACAGACATGCTCAGCCCTGGCCGGTTTGGCTCAGCGGTTAGAGCGTCGGCCTGCGGTCTGGAGAGACCCGGGTTCGGTTCCCGCTAAGGGCACATACCTCGGTTGCAGTTTGTCCCCAGCCCTGGTTGGGTCGTGTGGGTGGCAGCCACTCGATGTGTCCCTTCACGTCGATGTTTCTGTCTCTCTCTCCTTCCTCTCTCTCCCTCCCACTCTATCTGTACAAAAAATGGAAAAATATCCTCAGGTGAGGATAAAAAAAAAAAAACAGACATGCTCAGCCCAGCCGGTGTGGCTCGGTGCACTGAGCATTGTCCCATGGACTGAGAGGCCCAGTTCGATTCCCAGTCAGGGCACATGCCCAGGTTGCAGGATCGACCCCCAGTTGGGGGCGTGCAGGAAGCAGCCAATGGATGTTTCTCTCTCTCCCTTCCTCTCTCTGTAAAAAAAATCAATTAAAAAAAAAATTTTTTTTAAATGCACGGCCCTGGCTGGCTTGGCTCAGCGATCAGCGCATCAGTCCAAGGGCCAGAGTCGCGGATTCGATTCCAGTCAAGGGCACTTACCTTGACTGCGGTTTGGTCTCCGGTCCTGGTTGGGTCGTGTGGGAGGCAACCAGGGGACGTGTCTCCCTCACATCGATGTTCCTCTCGCTCTCTCTCTTGCCCATTCTATCTGGTGATAAATGGAAAAATATCCTCCGGTGAGAATAAAAAAAGAAAATACGTGCTCATTGTAGAAATAAACAGAAACCCCACGGAAACCTATACGAGGCAACAGAACGGTGTGAGGACTTGCTCCCGGCTGTGGCTAAGAGCAGAAGAGGTCCGTGTTCGCTTGGCAGTGCTCGGAGTCGCTCCAGACAGAGACCCGAGAAGTGGGTGCCGTGGGCTGCACTGGGGGTTAGGCGGCTGGGAGGGGGGAGGCAGACTCCCTTTTCACGGGTGCCTTTCTGTGGTTTTCACTGCAAAGGGGGAGGTGCCGAGGTCAGGAAATCCCCGAGACCACCCTCATGTCTGACTCCAGGTGCAAGTTTGGGGGTCCCTAAGTACCCCCTCAGGTTCAGTCATGCATGAGAACCACACAGACAGCTGGTATACTCACAGCTGCAGTTTATTACAACGAAAGAACACGGGTTGAAATCACGGGTGGGGTCAGATCCTCCCAGCAACATGCACGGAGCATCTCCATCAGGGAGCCCCAAGCCTTGGTGCCCCGGGTGTTCATCGGGTCCACGCCCCAGACACGGCTGACCATCCACATGTCTGACCTCAGTCTCCAGCCCCCCGATGCACAGCAGATACCGCATGGCTCATGCCCCCACCACAAGCCGCACTGTTAAACTGATGTGGTCCGAGGTCAGGGGCCCAGGGACACAGGACACGTTTATCAGGCAGGACGTTGCGAGGGCCTGGAGAACCCTTTCCAGGGCCCAGGGCGTGGAGCAACGTGGCAAAGGTGCCAGTTTCTGCTGCAGGTCACCGGGCATGAAGGCAGGAAGTGGGGGAGACAGCCGTGGCGGGGTTTGTCCTCCAGGATCAGGCTTGACTCTCGACGGCGGCCTCACAGGGCTTCAAGCAGCCCACACTGCCAGGGGTCTGCTCTGGGGGCCCCGGCAGCTCCGCACCTTCTCTCACCAGGAGGCCGGGGGGCTGAGACAGGCGTGGCCCTGGGTGGCAGGGCTGGCTGCTTTGTGGTCACATCTGTCCTTGTGTCCCCCCAACCCTCTGGTCCACCCCCACCTCCTCCTGCAAACATCTTTATAAAGAATTGGAAGCACAGAACGTCTTAAAGCAAAACCCACCCCCAGGCTCACTCACTCCGACGGGACCCCAGGCAGTGACAGACAGGCAGAGGCGGCTCCTGTCCCCCAACGTGGGATGTGGGACATGAGTAGGACAGCCCTGGTCAGTCTGGGTGGGACACGGTCCATCTCTGCCCGGCGGGAGGGGCGCTGGGGTCCTTCTCCAGCCCGACTGCACCACACCCCCACCCAGCTCCCTCGGACTCGGGACTGAAGCTCCGGGCAGTGCCCCGTGGGGAGGCCCTGCATGCCTGGCGTTCGGGGTCCGGTCAGCGGAGGCCCTAGTCCTCCTTGGGTTTGCGGGGCTGCCGCCGGGCCAGCCTGTAATCAACATAGGTCCCCAGGCAAGACCACAGGATGAAGCGCGCCAGCAAGATAATGACCAGCAGGACCAGGAGGGGGTCGCTCCCCCCAAACCAGGAGGCCATGCCGAGGCTGGGCGGCCCCACAGAGCCGCAAGGATTCCAGGCCGGGCTCTGTCGAGTGCCCACCCCGCGGCCAGGGACCCGGGCTGGGAGCGCAGGGCAGCTGAGCGTCCGCCAGGCCCACACCCCGCTCAGGGATGGCCCCGTCCTCTCCGAAGCCGCCGAGCAGGCCGGAGTCCAGTCCGGGGCCTCCCGGGCATGTGAGCGGACAGCTCGGGGACGGCTAGCGGCCCCCTCGGTCGAGAGGCCCGAGCACCATTCATGCAGAAGGAACGGCTCCCGGGGCCCACAATGGCCGCATTGTCCGGAGGCCCGGGGCGGGCGGCTGCCGAGCCCCCCGCCCGCTCCCCCAGCTCCCTGGCGCTGACGTAATCTGCAAACGTCTCCGGTGGCAGCTGCTGGGCGAAGCTGGCCACCTTCTCCGGCTCTTTCAGCCACCCACGCCCGCTCTTCCGGCCCCCGCGAGACAATCGGGCCCTTTCTCTCCCCAATTAGCTACCACTCTGGAGGCCGGCGCTGTCCAGCGGCCCAGGATGCGGTGGGGGCAGGGCGGCTGGGTGGGAGCTGGGGCCGTGGCAAGGCCAGGAGGGAGCTGTGCACATGGAAAGGGGGAGGAGCGAGGGGGAGAGGATGAGTGCATCCCCTCGAGCCCAGCGGGACCCCAAACATGGCCCAATTAGCACAGGGGCCGCCAACTCCCGCCTGCGACGCGAGGGGGTCATGTAGCCTGCGACAGGACAGCCCAGAAAAGGACCCCGGCACCTCCCTGCCCACCCACGGCCCAGGCTGGACAGGACAGTCCTGTGGGGTCTCCTCACATCCCTCAAGCGACCCTTGTCCCAGATCAGGTTGCACTACAGACTCGCTGACTGACCTTAGGCAAGTTGCTCAACCGCTGGGGCCTCGGACTCCGGTCAGAGTGCGGCGGGACGTGTCTGCTTGCCGTCTGCGGACAGGGTAAGAGGAGGGAGCTCCTACCGGCTCGCAGGCCGCCTTCCTCTCCCCAGAGAGGCCTGAGCACCTTCTCTGCCTGATGCACACACAGGCACACATGTGCATGCACACATGGATGCACACAGGCACACATGTGCCATGAATGCACACAGGAACACATGTGCACACACAGGCACACGCAGATGCACATGCAGAGCACACGCACCTCTGCAGACTCGGCCCACCACCAAGGTCAGCTCTGGTCTGTTAGAGCCAAGTTTCTGTGGGTGAAGACACAGCCTGGCCCCTCCCCCAACTCCAATCCTATGTCCCTTAACACAAAGGGGCCCCGTTGGCACTCGGGGCCCAGACGAGGAGCAGAGGTCTCTGATGCCCGGTCCTGGGAGCCCAACCACTGTCTCGGGCGGGAGTGTCCAACCCACAGGATCCTGAGCCAGAGAGAAAGCTAAGGGGACCTCCAGGGTTGGGGGCCCCTGAAGCCAGTTCCTGGGACCTTTCCCTACACAATGACAGAGTGTGCCCACTTTCCGGAAGGTTCTAAGGAGTAAGCGCAAAGGCTTCAGCAGGGAGCACCCCTTCAGATGGCCGGTGGAGCCGGATGGCTTTTGGTTTTCATGACGATAATCCCAGCGAACCCCCCAGCCACGCCGAGTTCCCACCGCTCCTCCCTCCGCGGCCCCGGGCCCTGGCAGCCCAGCGGTCACCCGCTGTCCAGGGCCATCTGGAAAGTGTGCGGGGCTCTGCTTGGCTCTCTGGGTGGCCATGCCTCTTTCTGTCCACAGACTGCCCAGGCCGGGGAGCTGGCCAGGTGACCCAGCGCGCTGGACTCTCAGGAACACGTAGCTCTGGGTCTACCTGCCACCCGCGGAGGTTCGCAGATCACTCAGATGCACGGGAGAATGTGGGCGGCAGAAGCCCCACGTGGGGTCACGGTCACAGACAGCTTTGGCGGGGACGCGGCGTCTGACAGGGCCTTCGCCAGCTGCCTCCCGGAGACGCCCACACCTGTACGGGGAGGTCCACGGGGAGGAAGAAGAGGCTGACTCAGGGTAGGCACCTCACTTACCTGAGCCGCCAGCGTCTCCAGTGGGCGTCCGGGGGGCGCCCGAGGCACCGGCCTGCGCGGGGCAGAGCCTGTTCTCAGCCTGCCGCCCGCAGCTCCCGACCTGGGAGTGGGGACAAGGTGGCCTTGGCCACCTCTGTTTGTTGAGCTCACAAAATCAACAACGCCCGTCACGTGACGCCGCACAAGGAAACCCTCAGGGTCACAGGCACCCCCCTTCCTGCTCAGACGTCCTGGACGTCGGCGAGGCCGAGGTCAGCAAGCCCTTCGGGAAGGGAAGTGAGTCGGCCCTGCCCTGGACAGGGTCTCGCTGTTCCCGGGGCTGCGTCTTCTGAGAACCATCCACCTGGTGCCGGCGCAGGGACCTTAGATGGGCAGGGAAGGGAGTGAGGTGGTAATGAGTCGTGAGGGCACGGCAGGTGGACCAGCCCCTGGTGGGCATCGCCCACTCGGCACCCACAGTCTGCGGAGCGAGCGCCGGGTGCTCCCCACTCACAGGAAGGAGACGCCCACAGGGAGCAGTGATGGAGGGTGTGGGCACGACCAGGCGCCATCCCCACGCCTGGGACCCTTTCCCCGGCCTGTGCCCGCCCTCTGGCTTCCTTGCCCTTGGTCCCCACACAGCTCTTCTGGGGAGGGGGCGTCCTCAGCTGAGGAAGCCCAGGGTTTCACGCCCCCAGCAGCCCTTCACCGAACACTGACCCCATGGGGGTGGCAAGAGCTCTTACCGGGGTCAGGACACACTCAAAGGCCACACTCAGCTCCCAGAAGTCCCCTGAAGGGCACAGAGAACCTGGAGCTGCACCTGGAGTCGCACCTCCTTCCCCCGCCCCGCCCCGCCCCCTCCCGTTCCTGCAGGTGCACCACCTCTCAGCCTTCTGAACCAGCCCGTGCCCAGGAGACAGTGACCGTGAGCGTCCCTGCCGACCGCAGCTGGACTGGCCACACTCACAGAGCTGGGGCCAGCCTGGGGACCCGGTTGAACTCAGCAGTGCAAAGGGTTCAGGAGGTCCTCCACCCGTGTCCCACCCCTGAAGCAGGGGCCTGCCTGTCCTCCCTGACTGTCCCCTAACAAAGTGCTCAGCAGAGGAGCCGTTTCCACAGATGAGGTCCATGGAGGAGGGCTGGGGACAGCCCCAGGACCAGCTCTCGCTGAGGTGACAGCACCAGCACCAGCCTCAGGGGCCGTTCGAGCTGCCGGCTCCGCGCAAGTTGGGTCTCCCTCACGGAGCCGTGCTCTGGGCCTCAGCTTCCCCGTCTGTAAAAAGGGACGAGGCCCCTCCCCCACGTCCCGCACAGCAGGCCGCGCGTGAGAGCACTCTGCGCGTGAGAGCACTCTGCAGTGGGAACATCACAGCTCGGAGGCCGTGGGGACCCGCGCACTTGCCGGACTCGGGGGCTGTGAGCAAGGCTGAGTCCCCTCACGCGGTCCCATCGCCGTATCACCCTGGCTTTGGGCGGGTGGGCTGGGGTGTTGGGGATTTTCTTTCGCCACAGCACGGATGTCCTGAGATCTGGGGCACATTTCTGGGGTATGAGATCTCAGCACGTGCCCAGGGCTGACACAGTTCCCAGCACCTGGTGGCCCTTGGGAGGGACGTGTCACACACACCGGCGTGCAGGGGTGAGTGACCACGGGCGTGTGTTCCCACCAGGCCTGATTTGTAAGCCCACCAACCACCGCTGTGCTAGGACCCAGGTTCTCAGAGGCGTGGGAGTCTCACTGAACATTGTTTTCCCTGTGCACAGGCGGGCCTGCTACTGTTGCAGAAATATAGCCATCCCGGTGCACGGTACACGCAGGTACCTTCGAGAAGCGGGTCAGCTAGGGTCGGCTCGTATGTCTGCCAAGAGGGGCACAGGGCGCTGGAGAATGCCGAGGCCCTGGAGTCAGCACCCCATGAAGACTTGGGGTCCAGGGGCCTCTTCTCCGTGAACCCTGCATCTCCACACCCAGCATGAGCGCCCAAACCCAGCTCCCCGAGAACGCTAGCTTGCAACCTAAGGTCCTCAGAGAGCGAGCGTGCATTCCCGGACTGCGAACACTAATTTACCTTCTTCCGACATCACAAAGGCAGATTACAACCCCAACTCGGAGAGCTCCCCGCTGGAGCGAGAGCCTACAGCCGGGCCCCCACCCCCACCCGCCCCCCCATCAGTCTGGGGGAGAGCTCCCCCCTGGAGAGAGAGCCCTGCAGCCGGGCCCCCACCCCCACCCGCCTCCCCCATCAGTCTGGGGGAGAGCTCCCCCCTGGAGCGAGAGCCTACAGCCGGGCCCCCACCCCCACCCGCCTCCCCCATCAGTCTGGGGGAGAGCTCCCCCCTGGAGCGAGAGCCTGCAGCCAGGCCCCCCCCCTGCCCCCCCCATCAGTCTGGGGCCCGAGCGAAGCCAGACGGGGGACGCACTTGAGAACACCGACCGGCGCCCTCGGCAGTTGAAAGCCGCGTGTAACTTTGCTCGGAGGGATCAAACAGCCGGTCCGGCTAGTCAAGGACGCTGTCAGGAGCAGAATGAAATTCCAAATAAATTAGCCATGTCCGAGAAGCCAACACAACGCCGGATTAGGGCTCACAAAGAAAACGCAGTGTATGCAGCCTACCTTGTCAGAATTCCTAATAAACTCGCCGGGTTTCTCACCTCGGGCTGAGTCCCTGGAAGGGAGGGGACAGAGGGGACCCCACTCGGAACGCGAGGCCACACATCTGTGCATGCGTGGTGCACGCTCCCGGCCCAGGTGAGCATGGGTCCGACGCACCCTCACAACGTTTCAGCAGAAGCCATACAGGTCACGGAGGCGGCAAGCTGTCGCCGCGCCCAAGGAGCACCTGCCACCTCCTCACGTCTGAGCTCCTCATCCAGAGGCCAGAGTGCGGTCATGGGGGCCCAAGAGAGGAAGAGTAATCGTTCTGGCTTTACCTTGGGGTGTGGGAGGGCGGCACCCTGCCCACAGGTCTCTCCCACAACGGGCACCCTGGCAGGGGTGTC